ACCCACACCCTATATCCACATTCACCCACCCACACCTACACTCACCCACATCCACATCCCAGAAATTCAATTTGAGCGCTGCCTTTTTGTGCCAAAATTCTGTAGATATTGAATAAATTCTATGGCAAGGTACTTGTTGCGTGTTACAGGACAATTTTTGAATCTCACTGTGGCGTATTCGGTCGATCCTATTGAGCAAGTGGTATCGTTCTATTTTGTATATTAAATATGTAAGAATTAGTGAAAAAAAAGATTCCTGCGAATAACTGGCTTCGTCAATTCCAAACTATAGATGTACATTTACCGTTGCTCTGAAAAGTGACTGTCTCGCATTTTCAGAATGTTTATAGGCTTCACGTTTGAGTCATTGCTGTCTCCTAGAATTCAATTCTCTTTCCATATAGATACAACGCATGAAATTGCGTTTGTGTTTCTTAAAATGCAACATACTCTTATTCTTGAAAGGACTTGTAAATGTTCAGCTCTATCCCTAACATATTTGCATGTCTAAGATATTACAGAGCTTTTTTTTGTGGCAAACAACAAGATCCTCCTTTCCTCCTCCTTTTTTGGGAACTATCTTCTAAAATATGTTTTTCTAAATCCTCCTCTATTCTCCTTTTTCTCAAATGACTGTTCTTAAGGGGATCCCCCCTTTCCGGACCCAAAATTTTCAAATTTTTCATTTTTTGTTTTTTCTGCTCTACATGTGTTTTCAAGTGCCCTCTATCTACTGGTAACGTTTTGAGAACTCAAATATAGCTCTAAAGCAAAAATAAAATCGAAAAGATAAATCGATTGCCGTAGGGGTATAACACGATTTTTTCTTTCCTTCGCGATTTTCTAGAAACCAGATTTTTCAGCAAAAATCTACAGAATCGCCCCCGTTTCTCAGGAACAGTAAATCCGATCGAGCTGAAATTTTTTCTACAGATAGTAGAAACACTTTAGGGGGCCTACTTGTTTTTGTTTTGAAAAATATTGTACCGTTGAGTTTTGGCAGGTCTTACAAGACAAGCACTATTGAAAAAAATATGGATTTTTTAGGGTGCTCTTACTATTTTGGCTTTTTTATTCGAACGGTAAGTGATAGAAAGAAACCAAAAAAAGTAGGCCCCCTAAAGTGTCTCTACTATCTGTAGAAAAAATTACAGCCCAATCGGATTTACTGTACCTGAGAAACGGGGGCGATTTGAGGGTCGATTTTTAGCCATTGCAACCCCAATATCTCCTAGAAAGAAGCATTTGGAAATTTTGAGTCTATGACAACTTTTACTCTACACATCGAGATCTATCAGCTGTGAAAGTTTCAAATTTTCCTGATGAGCCGTTCTCGAGAAACCCCGGAAAGGGGGGTGTCCCCTTAAGTCAAGGATTATTCGGCCCGTGCATAACTAAGAAAATACTGAGAATTCTTTTGATTCTTTTTTAAAAAAGTCGCTGATGCACTGATCGAAGAAAGTGACTAATTAGTTGTATATATCATTATATAATTAGTATGTTACCGAATCTTAGTGAATAATGTACATATAGCTTATTATTTATTTTGATCAGAACTATATATGAAAGGCTTAAATATCAAGGAGTACAACTGTCTGTGTACCTGTCAGGTTTTGAAGAGATACCAATTTGTTGATAGTAAACGTTTGGATGTTTTGAACATAAGCTTGCATGACATAGACAATCATGATCGAGCTTATTATTAAGAATAACATGAAAATAATCTTTTTCGAAAAGATTCATCATGTACACGGTTCATTGGGTAACACAATAAAAGAAAAAGGAAGACAAAAGCGAAAGACTAAACATGATAAAATTTGAACTATTACTATGACACAATGCATCAACCAAATAGGAGTCCACCGTATTTTACTCCGATTTTTATGTACTGTGAATGATCAAGTTTAAGAAATGCAAAATTAGCATAGCTTCATTGCAAGTAAAATTTATTTAATGAAACAAAAATGTGGCACACAATACTTTATTCATGTAAAAAAAGCAAGATCAAAAGCCATTTTTCTATCATAGAAGCAAGTCTGAACGTAGTAAAAATAGTGAAAAGGAAAGGGTGATTTTGGTGATCTTTAATCAAAGGTAATCAATATTCGATAAAATAAAAGAGGAATTAGGATTTAGTGCATAATTGAAATGTTAGCATCTAGTTTATTGCTATTGGAAAAAATGATGAATTGGTAGTTTGAACAAATTAGAAACTTCGACGAATCTCATTGTCATTCGATTAGAAGAGACGCTGTTGAAGTATTCGTAGCATTGACATAATCAGCATACAAATAACTAAAAGACAGTTTGAATAGTATTCGAAGTAAACGCAATGTATATCAAGTCTATTGTTTGTTAGCTATCACTTCTTGAATAGGAATATTAGAAAAAAGTTTCCCAAGTGTCTATTGATGCACACTCTATGATTAGCTACTTAAGCATTTAAACTAAGGTAGACTGATAACGGGAGAAAATCCATTAAGAACGACATCCGATTCATAGTCATTTCCAGATTCATAATAGGTTGTTAGTAGACGACATCGTGGAATGTCTGTGAACAACGACTGAATAGTTGAGAGTAGCAGAATATGAAGCAACTCAAAGCACAACACTTTTCATTCTATCATTTTGTGTAAGGTTGAAATTTTTGAAGTGTCTATTTCCTGTAGATTGTATTCTTCAGTTTCTGTTGCACTATGTTTATTCGGGCATCTCTCAATGATCAATAACTGCCAATCAAAGTTATCTGAAAGACATTCCTACTGAATTTTCTGAAGGGTGTGAGATCTGCTTACCACAAACCAGAACGAGAAACTGACGATGATTCGTATCTAATGTGGTTACTCTTTGATCAGATTTTGTATCCATGACTCGGAATACGTTGTTACTATGTTCACTTCATGTAGGAACGCTCATGAGTTTGGTTCATTCCTAGTTCATTCGGTAGAGTTATACAAGATTGGTCACTCTAGCTTTGAAAGACATGATTGGTAAATGGGACAGTAAGCCATATCATTTGTAAACTTCAAAAAGTTGCTTTCAAATGTAAGGTTAAAATTTATCAAAGGCTACTAGAATAATATATGTTATAAAGATAATTTAGATGCAGAACTTGCGGCTCATTTCAAACGCTCAACAGCAACGTGAAATATCTATTTTCACAAATGTTAAATGAGTTCTAGATAACTATCGTCTCATGTTTGTCGTCATTTATTAACGCATGTATATCAATCGATCAGCTTACCTGTTATTGTTATTGAGTTTGTTTTGATTGATGCCGATCCTCTTGGAGATGTGGCTACAGTCAATGGATTGTTGGCACTGGTTGTGGGACTTGAAGTAGTCGTTGTAAGCCCTAAATAGTTTATGAATCTAGACTGAAGGCTAATGCTTATCATTAGCTGTGCGAAGTCACTACTATTATCATCATATGAGTTCAAATTCCAAAATGAATACGAACCATAGAAAAATGCTTATTTTATAAATATCCGTAAGAATTGATAATACTTCTACTAGCAATAAAGTATCTGTTACTCTCGGAAGCGTTCACTCAAAGCCTATTAACGGTTATTACAACAAAAGAATGATGTCATTTTTATTTTCAATCTTGCTCCTTACTTTCTTTGAACCGACATACATAGATTTTCGTTATAAGAATCTCGGTGGATTTGTCTACAAAATGGTATGATACATGCTCTTGAGAAACTTCAGAAAAATTATTTCAAAAAGTGAAAAGCAAATATTCAGAAAATATGGTAAAAGCCAAACTTGACTATGGCTAAAGTGCAATAAAGATCTGTCGGGATTCGAAAGTCATAGTATCATTTCAATCAATTCAAAGAGGAGTATGAATGGAGGACAAGACCGGTGCTATCGATGTGACTAAATCTTTTGGTCGATCATGTGCTGCTGATGGAAAGGCGAATATTATGACGCTGAAGAAACAACTAAACCGAAAACAGCCAGGCCAATTAGAAAACGGAGCAAAGTATTGAATTTATTATATGTTAGTTCCTGCCCTATTTTGCGCAAAGATCTGGGATACACTCCATAAAAAACATCTAGGAACCTAAAATCAAGTGCGAGTGCTTTGCAGACTACCTAGAAACAAAATAATTTCTTCAGGTCAGTGATAGCAACTGTTCTCACATAATATACCATGATTGATAAAAAAAAACCTAGAGTAATTTCACATACGAAGTAACATTGCCTTTCCAACAATTACCATCTAGACCTTCGTTCTCTTTTAATAAAGTACAGAGCGGATAAGAGATCTATCAACTTGTAGTTGACTTACCAGTTGATGGTATTGATCTAAGACTGACCAAAGCTGGACCACGAGCTAATATCCAAAAATCTCCCATGACAGATGTTTGAGACGTCGTGACAACTAAAATGTATGTGCGTCCAGGTGCAAGAAGAAAGTTGATACGAAATCCTCTTCTAACGCCACCATTATCACTATAAATGGCAAGATTCGACGATGGATTAAATGGATCGAAAGATGTGTCGTATAAATAGCCTATGGTACTGATATCAGATACGCTTGCAAAAGAGTAAGTTCCATCTTTAGGCACAGTGACTTGAATAGTTTGATAGTAATATAAATCTGTTTTTTCACCATTGGGTCGATAAAATACTGGGCTACTTGCCCGTAGCGTACTCGGATAGGTTGTCAACACTAAAAGTAAATTAGTTGTTAGAAGAATCGAAGCCAATCGCTGTTAGAATGAATTCAAGTACAAACTGAGAAGGATTATTTAATAAGTGAATAGATTATAGAAATTGGTAAAAACAAATATCATATTGCGAGTTGTCAAGATATTACTATCAATTTATAAAGTCAGTGGATTCGATTGTAAATTCAATTACTATAGAAAGAAAGCAGCTACTAATACTCTTTCCTAAGTGTGTACGGAAAGTATTCGAAAAGATCAGTTTCGCACCGGAAATTCATAGTAACGAAAGGCTCATGAAAGCAGTATTTACAATCCAATCAAATTGAAACTTTCTTGATTCATTCATAGTAACATAGTGAGTTTCAAAACAAACTCAAAAAGATATCCAAATTTGCATGGATCGAATGAGCTTTCCAGAATATCTGAATATTTTAACTGATAGTATCTGGTTTTCTAACAATTTTACTCAGTTCTACTGATTCAGCGTGCAAAATTGATCTTTTCCAATACTCTCTGTATACATTTAGAAGAAAATATTAGAAGAGAATGAATATTGTCACGATACTCAACATATTCGAGTGCCTGTGTTCGGACACATTTGGCATTAACAAGAGGTTATTGAGGCTATGTAAGTAGATATCTGTATTATACCTCTACCATGCAAAATGAAAGTGCGGTAATTTGAAAAGTTATCGAGAATCATAGAGGACTATCAGAGCTATCATTCAGACTTTTTTAGCAATAAAGTTTCAGTGGCAATTTTTTCTACAACATTATGCAACGAAAGTTTGGCCATCTGCTGATCACCTTTCTATATACTGATAAATATAAATTTACATCATTTAATGAAATCTCATATTCTCTTTTCAAAGATGCAAACTCTTACCTTCTAGCAGCTTTCTTCTTACAGTTACTCAATTTACAGTAGAGTCTACTGATTTCATAAATGAATACTAAGTAGCTACATTATATTTTTCATTGCAGCAAAAGTATTCGTCAAGAACTTACATGTTGTGTTTGGTGTGATAGACGTGAGACCAACAGATGCTGGACCAATGGCTACAACTGAGAAACTTCCTGTGACATTTTCTCTATGCGTTGTTACGATGAGAGCATACGTTTGTCCAGCTTGGAGATAAACTTGGATACGAAACTGTAAGCCGATGCCACTGTCATCATCCTCGGTGATCAAATGCACACTCGTATCAGCTGGATCGAACGGAGCATGGTAAAAATAGCCCCTAGTGTCCATCGTACTGTTGCTCTCGAAAGTGTAAGTACCAGCTACAGATACAGTGACTTGAATGGCCTGATAAAAGTATTGAACGCCACTGCCAGTTTGAGGTCGCGAAAAAAGTGAACTATTCGGCGATAGTGCACCAGCATACAACGACGATGCAGAACGCGGAGTAGATACTACAAGAATCAAGAGCAGTCGTTGTTAAAAAGAGTTACACACAAAAAGTCGAGGGAACCTTTCTTTTGAGTGCAAACATTATAGAAACTAGCAAAACCAATACCGCTGTGACAGTTTCTAACGAATCAGATCAGGGAAACCTTTAGCTCGCAGCAGAAAGTAGTCGTAAAAAACTTACGTGTTGTTATTGGTCGACTTGTTGATGGTGTTATTGACATGAGACTGATGGACGCTGGGCCAACAGCAAACACTGAGAAATTTCCCATGGCCGATTCCCTATGCGTTGTGACCACTAGAACGTATATGCGGCCGGATTCAAGGAAAACTTGAATGCGAAACTGCTGGGAGCCGGCACCATCATCATTATCGGTAACTAAGTTCACTGTTGGGTCGGATGGATCGAAAGAAGTACGATAAAAATAGCCTCTAGTGTCAATCGTACTGTTGCTTGTAAAAGTGTAAGTACCGGTAAGTGATACAGTAACTTGTATTGCCTGAAAGTAGTAGTATTTGTTTGTCTCACCTCCAGGTCGATAAAATACTGGACTACTGGACGACAGTACACTCGCATATGATGATAACATAGAAGGTGTTGTAGACGCTACAAGAATTCAAAAAAAGAATCACTGTTAAAAACACTTCATAAACAATTTGAGGACCACTATCCCCTTAATAAATAAATAAAATCAGCTACGAAAAAAAAAACACCCCGCCTAATTGTCTAGATACTACTTATGACATATACTTTGCCTGTAGGGAAACTATTCGTGGGGAACTTACGTATCGTCATTGGCCGACTCGTTGATGGCGTGATTGCCGTGAGACTAATGGACGCTGGACCAACGGCAGACACTGAGAAGCTTCCAATAACTGATTCCCTATGTGTTGTGACCACCAGAATGTATGTTTGTCCAGACTCCATATTAACTTCGATGCGAAATTGCAACGCACCAGCACCATCATCGTTATCGGTAACCAAGTTCACCGTCGGATCGGATGGGTCGAAAGTATTACGGTAAAAATAGGCCCTTGTGTCAATCGTACTGTTGCTTGTAAAAGTGTAAGTACCAGCTCTGGATGCAGTGACCTGTATAGCCTGAAAGTAGTAGTATTTGCTTGTCACACCTCCAGGTCGATAGAATATTGGACTACTCGACGACAGCGCACTTGCATACGATGATGATACAGAAGATGCGGTAGATACTACAAAAATCGAAAAGAGTCGATGTTAAAATGACTTCACGAACAAATTAAGGACAACTATCTTTTTAATAAATAGGTAAAAGCAACTAGAGAAAGAAATATCATAGTTCCAGTTGGCTAGAGAATAACCAAAGCAATTTGTTCTACTGTTAGCAAAAGTATTTGTGAAGAACTTACGCGTTGATATTGGCCGACTTGTTGATGGCGATATTGACGTGAGACTGGCAGACGCTGGGCCAGCGGCAGATACTGAGAAGCTTCCTATGTCTGATTCCCTAAAAGTTGTGACCACTACAATGTATGTTCGTCCGGATTCAAGATAAACTTCGATGCGGAACTGACGGTTACCGGCACCATCATCGTTATCGGTAACCAAGTTCACCGTTGGATTGGATGGATCAAAAGAGGTTTGGTAGAAATAGCCCCTTGTGTCAATCGTACTGTTGCTTATAAAAGTGTAAATACCAGCTGTGGATACAGTGACTTGTATGGCCTGAAAGTAGTAATATTTGTTTGTCGCACCCCCAGGTCGATAAAATACTGGACTACTGGATGATAACGCACTTGCATATGATGATGACATAGGAGCCGGTGTAGATACTAGAAAAATCAAAAGCAGTCGCTGTTAAAAAACGTTAAGAAGCAAACTAAGGAGAACTATATTCTCAGTAAATATGTCAAAGAGACTAGCTAAAGAAACACCATGGTTTGAGTTTTCTAGATATCCGATATGGCACATATTTCACTCGTAGGAAAAGTATTCTTGAAGAGCTTACGTGTCGTTATTGGTCGACTGGTTGATGGCGTGATTGACGTGAAACTGATGGATGCTGGACCAGTGGCAGATACTGAGAAACTTCCAATAACTGATTCCCTATGTGTTGTGACTACTAGAATGTATGTTCGTCCGGATTCCAGTTTAGCTTCGATGCGAAAATTCGGATAGCCACCACCATCATCATTGTCGGTAACCAAGTTCACTGTTGGATCGGATGGATCAAAAGAATTCTGGTAGAAATAGGCCCTAGTATCCATTGTATTGTTGCTCTTGAAAACATAAATACCAGCTGTGGATGCAGTGACTTGTATAGCCTTAAAGTAGTAATATTTGCTTGTCATACCATAAGGTCGATAGAATATTGGACTAGTCGTCGATAGCACACTTGCATACGATGATGACACAGATGGCGGCGTAGATGCTAGAAAAATCAAAAACAGTCGCTGTTGAAAAACGTTAACAAGCAAACTGATGATAACTATATTCTTAGTGAATATGTCAAAGAGACTAGCTAAAGAAACACCATAGTTTGAGTTTTCTAGATATCGGATATGCCACATATTCTACTCGTAGGAAAAGTATTCTTGAAGAGCTTACGTGTCGTTATTGGTCGACTCGTTGATGGTGTGATTGACGTGAGACTGATGGATGCTGGACCAGTGGCAGACACTAAGAAGCTTCCAGTAACTGATTCTCTATGTGTTGTGACTACTAGAACGTATGTTCGTAAAGACTGGAGGTAAGCTTCGATGCGAAAATTCGGATAGCCACCACCATCATCATTGTCGGTAACCAAATTCACCGTTGGATCGGATGGATCAAAAGAATTTTGGTAGAAATAGGCCCTAGTGTCCATTGTATTGTTGCTCTTGAAAGTGTAAATACCAGTTGTGGATGGAGTGACCTGTATAGCTTGGAAGTAGTAGTACTTGTTTGTTATACCTGCAGGTCGATAAAATACTGGACTACTGGTTGATAGCATATTTGCATACGATGATGACACAGATGGTGGCGTAGATACTAGAAAAATCAAAAACAGTCGCTGTTAAAAAATGTTAAGAAGCAAACTGATGATAACTATATTCTTAGTAAATATGTCAAAGAGACTAGCTAAAGAAACACCATGGTTTGAGTTTTCTAGATATCCGATATGGCACATATTTCACTCGTAGGAAAAGTATTCTTGCAGAGCTTACGTGTTGTTATTGGTCGACTGGTTGATGGCGTGATTGACGTGAGACTGATGGACACTGGACCAGTAGCAGACACTGAAAAGCTTCCAATAACTGTTTCTCTATGTGTTGTGACTACTAGAACGTATGTTCGTCCAGATTGCAGGTGAGCTTCGATGCGAAATTGCAAGGCGCCACCACTATCATCGTTATCGGTAACCAAATTCACCGTTGGATCTGATGGATCAAAAGAATTTTGGTAGAAATAGGCCCTAGTGTCCATTGTACTGTTGCTCTTGAAAATATAAATACCAGTTGTGGATGGAGTGACCTGTATAGCCTGATAGTAGTAATATTTGTTTGTAATACCATAAGGTCGGTAGAATATTGGACTACTTGTCGATAGCACACTTGCATACAATGATGACACAGAAGGCGCCGTAGACACTAAGAGAATCAAAAAGCAATCAGTGTTAAAAAGAGTTAACGAGCAAGCTTATGGGGCTATCTTCTTCTTAGTGATTAGATTTAAGAAGCTAGCTAAAAAGTGTCATAATTTAAGTTGTGTAGATACCGGATATGGCATATATTTCACTCGTAGGAAAAATATTCGTGAAGAGCTTACGTGTTGTTATTGGCCGACTCGTTGATGCTGTGATTGACGTGAGTCTGACGGATGCTGGGCCAACGGCAGACACTGAGAACCTTCCAATAACTGATTCCCTATGTGTTGTGACTACTAGAACGTATGTTCTTTGGGATTCGAGGGAAACTTGGATACGAAACTGGAGGGAGCCGGCGCCATCGTCGTTATCGGTAACCAAGTTTATCGTTGGATCGGATGGATCGAAAGAATTTTGGTAGAAAAAGGCCCTAGTGTCGATTGTACTGTTACTGGTGAAAGTGTAAATGCCAGCTGAAGATGTAGTGACCTGGATAGCCTGGTAGTAGTGGTAGCCATCGAAGAAACTTGCAGGTCGATAGAATATTGGACTAGTCGTCGTTAGCACACCCGTATACGATGATGACACAGATGGTGCCGAAGTTGCTAGAAGAATAAAAGGAAGTTACTGTTTAAGTGAGTTAAAGAAAAACCGAAGGTGGCTCTCTGTTTCCACGGTAGGTCAAAGAAGATTAGTCCAAAGAATGTGATAGTTCAGGTTGTGAAGATAGCAGCGAGAGTATATCTTTTACTAGCAGGGAAAGTATTGACGTGGTACTTACGTGGTATTATTGGCCGACTCGTTGATGGTGTGATGGACTGGAGATTAACGGAGGTTGGACCCACGGCTGAGACTGAGAATTGCCCCATAATATTTGGCAAATGCGTCGTCACCACAAGAATGTACGTGCGTCCGGCTTGGAGATTAACTTCGATACTAAACTGTAAGCCAATGCCGTCATCATCATCGTCCGTGATTAAGTTCGCCGATGGATTGGATGGATCGAAAGATGTGTCATAAAAATAGGCCCTAGTGTCGATTGTACTGTCACTGGTGAAAGTATAAACGCCAGCTGTTGATATGGTGATTTGTATAGCTTGAAAGTAGTATTGATTCTGTACATCACCTTCGGGTCGATAAAATATTGAACTACTAGCGGATAGTGCACCCGCATATGATGATGTCGCAATAGGTGCCGTAGATGCTAGAAGAATCAAAAGTAGTCGCCTATTAAAGTAGTCAGATAAAAAAGGATCATTGCTTTCCCGTTAATGGTAGATAACAGGAACGGCAAGGAAATCCATTCGAAAAGTTTGGCGAAAAACAGATTAAACTCTGATTATGTGACAAAGGAATCGATGTTTTATAGATTACAATGCGACGATCTCAAATCTTATCATACTCCGCACTCTGTGTATGAGACGAGGCATATATTTGAATGAAGATTTGGTTTTAATGGATTTGAATCTGTTTTTCTCAACTATGAGAGAATGCAACTGAATTAGAGTCATTGCGCACAGAGTAAGCTCAATCGAGACTGTAATTTCGCACAATTTAAGAAATATGAAATGGCAACTATTTTGTAAATTGTTAGGCAGTTCGGTATAAAATATTAATCCGTCAATTTTTATGAAACTTTCTCAAAAGATGCAAATGATATGAACTAAAAATGACGAACTTTCATTGCTGAGTACCACAAACACGACTTTGATGATCGAGCCGAAATTTTTTTCCCGACATATGTACCTATCAGTTCTATTCATGGACAACATTTTAGCTCGATTGATTGAACTCACGATATCAGATGGGTTTAACCTGTGCAGAAGAGTTCATGATTTATGCAACATAGAGGCTCTGTACGTGGTGATTCGTAACAGATAGTGGTCTGAAACTTTTGGCGTATGTAGAATTTCTGAAGTTCAACAAGCAGCAAAAATTGCAGTTTGATGAAGCACACTCTGTTCGATCCAGGGAACTCGCAACAAAAATTAAGTTGTTGGCGCTAATGCAGATACTTGGTCAAGACTATCTGCCGATCTGTAAGATGATTTAGTAATGGATATTTAGCACTGAAAGTCCTAACTGTCGTCTACGACTTCATAAAAAGACCAGCCTTGAATCTCTTGAAACGGTCTGCATAAATGGTCTTCATTTAAAATGCAGAGGACAGAGTTTCTGAAATCGCTGGTTGTATATCTAGAATTCTAAATTGTGCAAGAGTGTCACCATAGTCTTATTGACTGTGTAACGTTGTCAAGAGAGCACGAAGCTCATCGTCTATGTTCGGATTGCTCAAAGCAATCTTATGAAAACTTGCATACCATCTGAAAAATGCCTATGGACATGTATGCATTCACTTTTAACAAAAATGCGATAGTCTAGGTCTTCCTTTTCACGAGATTTATCAATAAACGCAAAAGGCACATCATTGTAGTAATCGTCATAAATATGAATCGACAACCGTCTTTGGTGATTAGGCCAAATGGAATATATTCGAACGAAGCAGAGAGGTATCGAAATTTGTATTTTGAAAGTTAGTAGTGGTTACCAAAAATTGGTTTTTTTTAGTTGCCCTGGAAAGTACAGATCATGAAGTTGCAATTATGTAAATACAATGAGACTCCAGAAGTTTTAAGGTGCTATTTTCGATGCACTGTGGTTCTATTCAAAAATCAGTAGTGAAACTTTTCTAGGCTCTGAAAATCAAGGAGATTGGAGAAAAGTCCATATCAGTGTGTTCATCTCTTCGATAAGCATTACTGTACCGATCTTCGTTTAGTTTTTCTTGAGAGATTTCGTAGAAAGAAGGATTTCGACTATCGCGTTTTTTGTTAAAAGGGAATCTGCATATGCTCTTAGGTGCTTTTCAAAGTATATTAACACTGTGAATGTAGATGAAAAAAGTACTCATATGTACACGCACACTCACATCCTAATGAATGAAAAATCGATTTTTCTGCCACTGAATCGATGATAATCTACTTTTTCATCAAAAATGTTTACACAGGAAGCACTATTGTGTTACGAATTTCTAGGATGCCAGCCACTGCGAATCTTTTATTCGCAGGAAAAGTATTGACGATGAACTTACGTGTTGTTATTGGTCGACTCGTTGATGGCGTAATGGACTGGAGACCGACGGAAGCTGGACCAACAGCTAACACCGAAAAACTTCCCGTAGTGTATCGTCCATGTGTTGTGACGACTAGAATGTACGTTCGTCCGGATTGAAGGTTAACGTCTAAACGAAACTGATAGTCGATGTCACCAGAATCATCATCATCGGTGATTAAATTGATCAATGGATCTGATGGATCGAAGGAAGTTTCGTAAAAATAGGCCCTAGTGTCGATGTCACTGTTGCTTGTGAACATGTAAATACCCGTTGTAGGTACAGTGATCTGTATGGCCTGAAAGTAATAATAAGCGTCGGAGGCACCGTAAGGCCGATAAAATATTGGGCTGTTGGCTGATAATGTACTTGAATATGATGATGACACAGTAGGCGCCGTAGATGCTAGAAGAATCGAAGGCAATCGCTGTTAAAGTTAGTGAGACAACAAAAAGAAAGCAGACTTTGTCTTTTTGAGGGAAACAAAATAACAGAGACTGGAACTTAACGAAACCTAGCCAGATGATTCTTTTCAGAAAGTAGATCGTACAGAACTGATTATAATCATTTTCAGAATATATGATTTGACTTTCTATGCATGAACTTTGTTTTCCAACTTAGCACATCTTAATTTATAAGTTTCATTGTAGAGTAACTCATAATGCAGACTGAATAGAGAAGTCTATGTATTTGTCGAATTGTTTCTTCTCTCTACTATTTTCTGAATGTTTTCTTAGTGAAATAGTCATCATATATGTTTTTCTTTCAGTACTATTAATCTCGATACGAGAAGCATTGTGGCGAGCGAGAACACATTTGCACCTATCTCGTCATCGTGGTCAACGACATGAAGACTTTATTATGGATAAATTTAAGACATACAAGACAATGATTGAGGTATATATGCATTTAACATTTAAGATTTGAATAGTTGTTTCAAGATTGAATCATGTACTGGCATTGAAAGAAACTATCAACAGTATATTGTCATTTCTCAAATATTTCTATTTCCCGAATGCCGTCGAATTTAAAAAGAAACGAATTTCAAATATACACTCGTTACATGTTCACGATCTCAGCAAGCTTCTTTCCAAGTCGAAATGAAACCCAGATACTGAGAATGAATAGCTAGTTTGAATCGTGACAAATGCATCGAGCGGAAGAAAAAGAAGAAAAAGAATTTGCCATCACTAATGAACGACTTCAAAGCAATAAGTCGACTACTGTACTTTGTGCAGCCGGGTGTCTTAAACAAAATAGTTGATGCATCACCGAAGAAAATTACAAATCTGTTTTGAAGAAATATAGACTATTTATCGAACGTTACTCTAACCGAAATTACTATTCTAGAAGGAATGAATTCTATACGATAGCATGTTGTTGTGTTGTTAGATAATAGAACAGCAATTGTCTCTGTTCAATCTCGAAAAATACATGAACACAATGACACTCGTCACAGAAAGCAAATCGAACTTTGTTCAAGCTTTTTGTTCACACAAAATTCTGTTTCACATGGCTCATCGACTGAACAACGTGCTCAAAGGCATCTCTTATCAAGTAGTCACGGCGAAAAACATTTCATCTAGTGACTGTCTTACTGTATCGTTAAGCATTATCTGAACCGAACCTGCACAAACCAAGTTAAAGAAGATAGACACGACACCAACCACTCACCCATTCTATGATTTAATCGAAGGCGATTTAACAGAGAAGGATGAAAAAATAGTAATGACAATGAAAAGTCCAGTGCGGATCAAAATCAAGATGATGATATACGCAATTGAACAGTAACAACTATCACTTAATTGCCTGTCGTCACCAAACAATTACTTGCAACATTTAAGCATGGCACATTTTAAGTTCGATACATAAAACAAGTTACAAATGTTGTCTGCTAGATAGAAAAAATATGATTTCTCTCTTTTCTATTTTAGTCCAATCTCAGTTGACAATCACAGATTGAGGGCAAATTATAAAACAAGGCATCGAATAGCAAAGATGAAGACATTAATGATGGAGCAACACCTTTCAACAAAGCCTTTACAATGTCAATGTACCAAGCTTCCATCATTCGATGACTCTCTTTCTGAGATCCCTTGTGAATGTCAAAAATGCCTATTCAAGTTTCATCGTTGTTCTTAAAAGCAAGAACCAAAGTCACCGAATTTATTGAATCAATACGACTATAGCAGATAAGCAGATCGTCTCTCTCACTCTTCGACGTTCCTTATTGATGAAAATATAAAAGAAAATAACGCTGTTTCTCTTATTTATATTGCCATGCGTCACGTACCTCAATGACAAGTTGGCAACTGACGAGAAACATGAAAAAAATGATAAGAATATTTTGTGATCATAAGCTGTGCAATTTTGATGAGATCTTTCTTGTTCTTCATAATTCTGGGTATTAAACTATTTTACAGACGAAGCGTACAGCTGCTCAATTCAATGTTTATCATAGATGATGACTACATCATAGTCACTTTTCTTCATTTCAATTATAAACAACTGTGTGGAGCATCGAATTCATAAATCGCTAAATCTCATTCGACATCCAGTCGTTGTGTTTCGCCTATGGAATCTTCAACGACAGACGAAACGCAAAACTACAAGTCTATTGACGATGAGCCACTGACAAACAAGCAAAAATTGTTGATGACCACACTCATCAACAATTGATGCCCAACGCACCAACTCACTACCTGATAAAATAGATCATTCTATTGAACTGCGTATCAATAATCTCAATCCATATCTTAACCCATTCGTTTTTCACACAAAGAACAGCATTCTAGTGTAGCCAATCAGATTTTAATGCAGCGTCGATCGAATTTCGAACAGGCAACAGTCAATAGTATTATATCTCTTTGTTCCATTGAAAATAGAGTTCGTCAATATTTATACAACAATATGTCTACATTTCTCGGCTTAGATTATGCTTCCTTGTTGAACATACCATTGCAAACTGTTGACTCTGACTTTTCATATGCCTACTAATGCCATTACTAATACCCAATAAAAAACTTCTGTGTTTAAAAAGCCAATGACGTAGCTACTGACTTAAAAGATGAAGGAGATGCCACTCACCGCAATAAAGAAGTCTTTATTGTGAGGACATTTTATAATTGGTCACAAGGTATCACTCGAAGCAAATCGATTCGAGACAAGAGTTAGTCAAATAAAATTGAGACAATTGACTCCTTTTACCGTTCGTTTCGACTCCTAGTAGGTAAGAAAAACCAGGGCAAGGAATACCATAGTTCAACTTTTGAAAGTAGAACAGGTAACATACATTTTACTCGCAGAAAAAGTATTGGTGAGTAGCTTACGTGTTGTTATTGGCCGACTCGTTGATGGTGTGATCGACATAAGGCCAACGGAGGCTGGTCCAGTCACTGAGATTGAGAAATTTCCTCTAATATATTCCCCGTGTGTTGTAACCACGAGAATATATGTTCGTCCGGGTTGAAGATTAACGTCGATACTAAACTGGTAGCTGCTGTCACCAGAATCATCATCATCGGTAATTAAATTGACCCCCGGAATTGATGGATCGAAGGAGATATTGTAAAAATACCCCACAGCATCCATATTACTGTTGCTTGTAAAAGTGTACATGCCAGCTGTAGATATACTGACCTGTATTGCCTGAAAGTAGCTGTAGTCATCGAAGACACTGTTAGGTCGAATAAAAACTGGACTACTAGATGATAGTGTACCAGCATACAACGATGATACAGAAGGTGCCGTAGACGCTAGAAGAATCGAAGACAATCGCTTTGAAAGTTATTAACATAAAAAACTGAGAAAGATTATATTCTAAGTGAATAGAGAAAAGAAACTAGAGAAAGAAATACTGTGATTTGAGTTTTCAAAGTAGAATCGACAACATATATTTCACTCGCAGAGAA